TAATTATGTACATTATGACACATTGTGTACCATCAAAAGACGATATAGAAGAACTTGATTGCTTGGTGTCCATTTCCGCTAAATAAACATCGATAAAATCTCTGAACTCGCCATGTATTCTAGTTTGTTTGTGCTTCGTTATTTCGATCTGAAAGACGATATTTTATTCTATTTATAAATATATCTTATATTTATATCTAGAAATATATAGAAATTATATCGCTAACGGAGGAATAGGTATTGCATTACCGTAATAAATTGCCACATTCGTGTCAATCTTTGATTTAATGCGGTAAATCCGGTTAATCCTGGAGTAATATATCTTAAAAATGGTAAGTGAGTTAATATGCCGCCGGTGACATTAGTATTTCTTATAATCTCGTTTACCACTGATAAAATCTCTGTTAATTTCGGATTATCCAAGTCAAATCTACAACGATATGTCTTCATGTTATTTTTAATTACATGGTTTTAATATAATTTACAATAATTTTGCAGCATACTGTGTTCCAGCGACTAATGTCCATAAACTATTGAGAACAGCTATGGAGGTAATATTGTACAAGTTGGTAATGGGTCCCAATTTAGCTAGCGATTCTATCGTACTTGTTAAGGAAACCGCATCGTTTAATATTATGTCCTCCATCGTAACATTTCCGAATCCAAACTCTTTCAATGTTCTCAGAACAAATCTGAATAATTTGTAACAAGTTATAATTTGAAGAAAATAATATAACAATAATATTTTAAAGATTTAATCTCTTAAAAAATTTTGTTAAAAATTTGAAATTGTTAAACAAAGGTTATTGATACAATTCATACAGAAATGTAATATTTACTGAAAAAAATTATTTAATATAATATTTTCTCGTTAATTTTAAATATGTATTAAAGACAGATTGTGTGCATTAGATTAAATTACAAGATTTTTTAAAAGCTTTAAATATAATAATTGTATGCGAAATACCTTCTTTGATCTCGCCAAATATCGCCATCGGTAAATAATACACCTCTCCGTTCACCCCCCGTGCGAAGTTTATGTACAAATCCATTAGGTCTGCCGTCAAACTGAGGTCGACTCATCATTTCGATTACTGCATCCTTACCGGAAACAATGATCAGCGGTTCGGCTATGCCGAGTTTCAAACCGACGATAGGTCCGTAAATGTCGGCTAACCGACACCAGGCATGAGAATAAAACTTCGTCTCGTCGACCAGACGTTTTACGTCGAGTATATTTCCCACGATCGGCAGACCGCGGGGTCCTCGAATAGAATATCTTATATATTCATAAATTGCGAGACAATATAGAATATTGAAACATAAAGTGTACAAATAATTCTTTAACGCTCGTATAACTTTCAAACAAATTAATAAATAGTAACCTGGGTCAACAATTAAACGAGCTAGAATTAGATGTGAAAATGCAAAATTTATTATTTCACAATACAATTTTCCACCGATACGTTTCGATTATATTTAGTCCTCATCAATGATAGAAATATAATTACTCCATATAACAAAAATTAAATTAACATATTTAAAGGATCATCTCAACTTCGATTTTCAATAGTTAGTATAAACGCAACGATATTATATTTAGTCAATTTTTATAGAATATTGAATCATATCAAAGCAAATGTTCATAAAAAGTAGAAGCAAAAATGTCTGTTTGAAATAAAAGCATAAAATAAAAGTATTTTTTGAATTATATTTTTTTAAAAGATACATAAATAATACAAATAACATCATTAATTTATTAATTTTTATAAAAAAAGAAGATAAAACTTTGTTTAATTCATATGATTAATTATTATTTTTATAAAAGATGACGCATATGTAAAAAATTGTTAATAATTATAAACATAGCAATAAAAACTATGTAAAAATAACACAAATATTTTTATAACACTATATATAAATATAATTTTTAAATAAATCTAACTCTTTATTGAATATGATTACCTGGAGGAAATGTTGATGGGCGACGCCAGTCGTACAAAATTTTTATGAGTATCACCAAACAAACAATTATAAACCACATTATTTATTTGTTAATCTTAATGGTAATAGAAATATAGAAATAATGTAAAGATACGTAAGAAATTTACTTTATTATGGAATCCTTTTATAATTAAAAAAAATTTTTTATATCTTCTTGAAACAGATTGAAATTACCGTAAAATTAGTAAATCTTACATGTAATAAATGTAGTAATTAACTGTACGAGATTTTATTTTGAATTTTCTATGTATAAATTACTAATCCACCACATCTCTTATAAAATTGTCATTCGTAGTAAGCGATACTATTCGAAACTGCACTATTCCCGTGGAAATTATATTATATGAGAGAAATACTCCTTTCACTGGGATATTAGGCAAGAGAATTTTGGCTCAAGGTTCCAATTATGTACGAATATGTCTGTACTAGCTACTGTAGACATGCACGCAACAGTCTACCTCCTGTTATCTGGACCTTACATAAAGTTTCATTTTACTGCAAAATGCTTTGCGACAGCTATGATATAATACATTGAAACGTTTTCAATAGTACGTTGTATAACATCCTTAGAACGATTGCATCGATGTTTCATTAGCTAATGTCTTTATCCAGTTTCGACAAAATAGAAATAATTAGAATTTGTTATAAGGGATAAAAAATTTATATTATTGATTTGTGTTTATTATACATGTAATTCAAAGAGAGAGAGAGAGAGAGAGAGAGAGAGAGAGAGAGAGAGAAGAAGAAGAGAAGAGAAGAGAATATATTAATTTTTATGTGTTAATTCTTCCGCGGTGATAGGAAGGCGATAATAGATATGACCAAATGATTTAAGACGTTCTATAGAAACAGCTACAAAGAAGTTTCTTGGAGGGGAACAAGAATATAGCGAAGAACACTGCTGGGTCATTGCTAATATCGACGATTATAGCAGTGCGAGGTAATCACAGAAGTTATAAGCGGCAGATGTCAGAATCGTAAATTCGCAATTTCTAATCAATCTCGCGCACATCAAAGCACACGCTATCCCCGTTCTCCATTTCGGCATTTGTGATCCGGCTAACACCTTGTGCAATAGTTTTACGATTTCGCGCTTGCACGCAATCTTACACACCTTTTCCTTTTCTATTCCCCGGGCCCACGTTGATAACCGTCTTGCTCTGACCTTTTCCGCCTAGCATGCAACGTCAAATCAAAACGAAAACGATCGAACAGGGCGTTCGGCGAATAACGATCGCCGCAAACCACTTAAAATCATCGAGTTAATTTGATCGCGATTATTCGGTTAAATTATCGAGTCGTTCACGTTACGTAGGTTATTGACACTGTTATAACTATTGTTAATAAATTATATCTTTGTATATATCATCGTGACGTTGACTGGCATTTATAAAATGGAAATAATTAGATATAAAATACAAATGTAAGGATTTAAACAATGTTTTGATCATTTCTTTTATTCATCATTATCACAATAGGTTTAAAAACATTTTTCAACAATAATACAAATAAAGGAGATAAAAAAGATTTTAATCCACTTTACCTAGTTCTTCGTGAAGTATACTTGACTTGCTTTCCTCGCAGAAGAACTTCCGCTATAAAGTGAAATGACATTGTAAAGTCGGAAACGACTGCCATCAGCGATTCTGGAACTCATTGTCAGAGATCACAACATTCGCGAGTGATGGTCCGTAAATTATTGCATCTCGGCGTCAGTAGCAATAAAACGATCAGCGAGAGACAAAGGAACATATAAAGCGAGCCTTACTTCTCTCAGTGCACAATAGATGAAGCTGCGTAACATACAGGTAACGAGCGATCGCGTCGTCGCCAATTGATGATAGCAACATAAGGAGAGAAAAGAGTAGAAGGGAGAGAATAAACGTTAATTATTATTGCAAAAAGAGCAGTTTTATTAATTTTCCTATGTGTGCTTATTCGCCAAAAATATATTTCTATTATATTGGACGAGAGTTGCTAATCTACTCCTTATTAAAAATTTGAGAATGCTCTGTATAATCCTCTGAATAAAAAAGATATATAAACCTTTTTATCTGTCTAAATGAGATAGTCCATTATGCGATCATAAGAGATTCTGCAAATATTTCTGCTTTGACTGTAATTAAATTTTAAAACAATATGAGCATAAATGAACTTGACTAATTATTTATAAGAAGATTTTGGTATCTTTATCATAAAAGTAATACATATTTAAGTAAATTACCAAATGCAATTATGAGATACAATAAAACATGAGCCTTTTTTGAGCGAGCATCTACATTATCATAATTCAAGGACGTCACAACTGCAATTCATTAAACTTTTAAATGCGGCGAACGAATTGTTCTTCTTGACATAGAGAATAAAGGTGAACAAAGCGACAGAGCTTTATCGTGCATAACGAACGAAGACATTCAAATTAAATGTTTCACGATCAATTATCAATTGCCTATTAAATTGAAATGAATATAGATAAATGAAGAATCTCTTAATAAGTCTAAGGAAATCCATGCATTGGTCTTCCTAAACTTCAAAAAACTTTTAAATCCAAATTTTAATAATAATTGTATTTAAATATAAAGAACTTTACTATAAAAAATTCGGATATTTGCGTTTAAGGTACTATTGTGTAAGTAGTACGAGAATGACAAGCTTTATTTTATTGTCCTAATGTTAATGTTCGACAATTGTTAATAGATTGTACAAAGTGTTAGATTAATTCGAACATACGATCGTTGCTCAGTCAATGTAAGATTTTTCATGAGGTAATTATTTTGACGGTGGCAAACGATTTCGTTTGGGACGTGTGATATGTATTTAATCGATTGATCAATCCATTGGAATGATGTAGAAAATACCGACTAAGGAAATTAAGATGCGGAACAAGGAGACGAGTTGTCGCTGCTGCTGATAACAAGTCCGGAAAATCGAGATGCTGGATAGGGGGAGTTTAAAAAGGAGCGGGGTTGGAGGAATTTGATGGCAGGTGGGGGGCGGTGACTCGCATTTACCGAAGGTGCTAGATGTAGCTGAGTTGGCACTTGATAAGAACAGGCTTCAATTCAACATCAGACGGGTGCTACTGTCAGCGTGCCATCATCGGGACTTTCGATTACTCGTCGTGGTCAGTACCAATGACAAACAGCGGCTCCTTTTCGGGAAACATGATTTAATTGTTGAGTGATCGCTTAATTAGGAGTTAAATATTCAACTAGATTTGTTGACATTGTCAGGTAGATTAGCATACAAACAGTAAAAAATTAGGAATTTTGTTGATGAAACTAGGAGTTCTGACTTGGTGTTGAATTTAGGTCATATTTGCCGCGAAACAAAGAAGAAGATTTGAAAAGGACGAAGAAGTGACACTCTGGCGGCGATGTTGGTTCGCGCGCCTTACACTTTCCTTTTCATTCTTGCGGTAGGTTACTTTCTTGCGCTCTATTTATATATAATCGAATTATATATATTTAAAAGTAATGTAAATGCAAAATTTAATTTAGAGCAGAATATTGTTTTATAATAAATTATTTTTGTGAATGTACACTTCACAATAATAATTTATTTAAAAAAATTAGCAGACTAAACAAAAATTAATAAATTTAGCTCTATATTTAAAAAATTGCGTAGAATTCCTCTTATATATAAAAAGAAAAGGTGTTATTAAAGCAAAGAGAAAACAGAATATTATCAGAGCAAAAAGTAAAAGTATTTTCAATTAAGAATATTACATTTTATGTTTAACGGATCGTTCTATTTATTTTGTCGAATTAATTAATTGTATTATAGCTAATTATACTTCTCTCATTTTAACATTTTATATATATATATATATCTCAATGTTAGGACTAAATTCTTTGTTAGTTTCAGTGAAACATTGCCATTCTTCGTAACATATATTTTATTCCTTCAGTATTCTCACTTTCGTGCCGACGCACTGTGCAGTCATTTCACTGGTTAATCTCGCGTGCCGAGATATCGTCGAGCTCGCATGATTTGATCGAGGATCAATTGTGAAACCGACATTTTCTAAATTAAATTTGATACATGATTGCTGCCAGGCGATATCGAACGTCTTCATAAACTTTCCCGTATATCTCTGAAAAACTACTTATTGGCTTGTACAAATATGTACAAATGTTACTTTTAATTTCAATTTATTTGTTTATTATTTTTATTTATATTATTAATATTGAAAGATATTTACTTCAGTAATGTTAATGTGACAATATTTGTCGCATGTATAATATTGCAGATATTTATCTGATTAAAACAGGTTTGCTGTTGGTTTAGACATAATGCTGCGATTCCACTTGCTTCTTATTCATTAAATCAAGTATGTAAATATGCAATATTTATTTTTATGTTTATGTTAAATTTATAAGTTGTGTATATGAGTATTTTTATTTAGTATAAATTTAATATACAGTCCCGTAATTATTGACGAAGCGCTCTTGAGTAGAGCGGACTAAACTGAAAAGTCCTCTACCATTTTGTAATTTTCCTAATAATTAACAACGTATTAATTACTAAAAATCACCAATAATATGGTAGAATTTTCAATAATTTTTTATTCAAATACAATTTTACAGAAAAATAGCAAGTGACAAAAGTTGTTTATTTTTTTCTCAGAGTTCTGAGAGAGTTTTTTCAGAATATTTTAGTACCGCATTTTCTTATGTTGGTAAAAATAGTCGACAATAAGAAAATGCAGTACTAAAAAGTTAATAAAAAATTATGATAAAATCCTTAGAGCTCTATAAGAAGAAAATAAACAATTTTTGTCTCTTGCTATTTTTTTGTAAAGTTGATAGTACTTGAGCAAAAAATTATTGAAGACCAATATTCAGCGATTTTTGGTAATTAATATCTTGTTAATTATTGCGAAAATTGCAAAATAATAGAAGACTTTTCGACTTAGTTTAGTCCGCTCTATCAAGAGCACTTTTTCAATAATTGCGGAATACCCTGTATAATAAATCTGTTATGCTTATTTTATGGAAATGTTTTTTTTTAATTTGTCTGTATTGTTGTTATATTTTTGAAATTTTTTTGTACATAGTTTTTATACTTTTATATGTTTTTCAACCCTTACTGGATTGTTTGGAATATTTTATGCAATAAAACTTTTGCTAAACTTTTCTTTTCAGAGTAATTTTGAAGAATGTTTTCAAGAAGTATATCTTTATATTTTTATAATTTATTTATGCTTTCCCATTTTTTATAATTTTATAGATAAACGCAGCAGTTTTGACATATTGTATCGTTTATTACGTTTATCACATAATTACTACTGTCATAAAACGATGCTTCGGATATTTCTTCATCAATCACGTTTCATGCAATTGCATCGCTTTGATTCGGATTTATTGACTTTATTGTTAGCGTAAGTGGATTTTTTTAGATAAATTCTAATTATCTCTTATTCTGGGGTGTTGATACTAATAATTTTATGCGATAATAAAAATTTGTAATTCTAAGTATGAAAATTTGTACGTATTTTTTTATCTAAACTATTTTTTTCAAATCTTTTTAATCTTTTCATTAACTTTTCTTTGGCATCTGTTTAAATCTTCAGATGCAGGATGCATTCAAAGAGAAACAAATAGATTCTGAGAGTGATTCAGATGACTCTACCTTGGATTCTCGTTCCATAAGAGAGGCGGAAACATTGGATGTTAAATCTAACGAGGACAACGAAAATGATGATAATGATGAAAATGATGATAATGACGAAAATGATGATAATGACGCTATTCAAGATGACACCATTCAAAAGTAAAGTACAATCAATAAAATAAGTCTATGTAGGCTGCGTTCCATTTAATGCTTGTGGAATCATTTCATCCTTGTTGTTTAGGAAATGTTAAATAAGAATAAACGATGTTTGCGAGCGTTAAGTGGAACGCAGCCATAGTAAAGTATAAAATATGTTTAACTCGCAGTAATACTGAAAATAACAAAAAAGGAAGACAAGTTGAATTCGAAAGATTAATTAATTGACACAATTAATCTATTAATTTGAAATATATTGCAATCTTTGTATTATTATTAATTATTTGATCTTCTATTTTTTTCTGCACAGCAAGGTGAAAAATCAGAATGTAAATCAGAATATAAATCAGAATATGAATATGAATATCTTCAGTGGCGAAAATCGTCGTCGTGTTAAACACCATCGCCATAGGAAAACTACGACGGAAAATATTATGACAGCCACAGGACATTCGACATTAGAAGAAATAGCCACGGAAGAAGCATCAACGAATTGTGCGAGCGGTAAAAAGAAGAACCAGAGGTACTCAAGTAGCTTCTTCACGAATACAACAGGCCGTGCGCTAAACGTGGAAAAGGAGTTTAACGATGTAGTTGGCAACAATTCCAAGGTGAAAAAATCTAGCAGTGTTCACGAGGGCGAGGACATCACTCTGTGCTGGATCGAAACGACAACTATCAAGGAGGACAAGACTATTCGACCACCGAAGAGATTGGTTATTCGTGAATACACAATCTCTTTTGAGAACTCAGCAACCATACCGGAAAGATATCTCGAATGTAGAAGATTCGAGGGTGAATTGACGGCGGACGATCCCGACATTGGTAAGACGGCCTTATTCGAAATCATAGACGAAGACACGATGGTCAGCAGGATCGTTAATTTTACCTCGGTCAGTCATGCGGGTAATATTATTACTTGGGAACATAAAAAAGTGAAATGCGGAGTTGGTCCGGTAGTTAGTAAAAATATTGTAGAATTGAACGACGGCTCAAAGATTCCGAAGAAGAGAGTGGAGATCAAAGTTAGTCCCAAAATGCATCAACTGACGGCAACGACAACTGAAGAGGAGTGTACGGAAAGTAGTACACTCACCGAATCTATGACTGAATACACTACTGGATTACCCTGCGAAAATGGTGCTTGTGAAGCAACCATGATTTCCCCTAGCATTGTACCAAAAATCGATAAATTCACCACTGAAGAAATAGTCACCAAGTTGCAGAGCGAATCCGAAAGCGAGAGCGTCGAAGATCATTTATCTACAGCTACGAAATTATTACCTGATGAAATAGTATCTAGAAGAACAACGACATTTCCTAAAAAAATAACTACAATTCAGGAGAGGATAGACTGCGAAGAGAATCCATCAGATCCAGCGTGTTTAACGCAAAAATATGATACATCTTCGGAAGAATTAGTTATTGAAGTATTAACTACGACGGAAACAGCTGCGATAGTCGAAACATCATCGATTAGTGATGAAGAAATAACTTCGAAAGAGGAGATATTTCATCCTTCTATTGAGGAGAGATCAGAAGAGATCACGGAATCTTCACCTACATCAAAAGAAGAGGAAGAAATAATTTCTGAAGTAGTAACTGAAGAGTCAACTCCGTTTGCATTCGCGAAAGATATTCTCACAAAGTCTTCGGAAGCATATCCGCAATCTCAATCAACGGATCGAGCATCTGTTGATACTAGTTCATTGGAAACAAAGATTACTGAAAGTTCAAAAGGAATAGAAGAATACTCGAAGCCCGAAGAAGATAGAGGTAAAAGTTTTACTATACTGACAAGCGAAGAATTAGGAAAAGTTGACTATATTTCATCTTCAAGCGAGAGCATAGTGACTTCAAGTGAAGCTGATATTGAGCCAGGTGTTATAAGCGCGAAATCACCAGAATTGATCGAATTCACGAAAGAACCCACTAAACCTGATCGGATTTTCGATAAGTTATCTGATAAGCCAATTTCGACAAAAAGTGTAACAGGAACTGTAACTATCGAATCATCATCAATGTCCGAAGAAGTGACCTCTGAGGAAACCAAAGAAAAGGCTGTAATTGGAGAAACGACGATGGGTGGGCTAAAGAGTAGTGAGGAAAGAGAATTTATTACAATTACAACGACGTCGCCAACGAAAGTCAGATCAACGACTTTGTCGCCAGTGTCAAGCGGCGAGGTAAGTTATTCATGCGAGAACTCCGAGGATTGCGTCAGTTCGGAAGGCTGCGACGAGTTCGGAAATTGTGAGAAACTTCCACCAAAATTTGACACGATTCCCCCACCAAAACTGACAAAAGTTCCTCCATCCGAGGAATCAAAAATAATTGAGCACTCGACTGTCACAAATGTAGGAACGACCATGTTGATCCCTCAAGAAGGTGACAGCAAGTTGATGGCTAAACATATCACGGACACCCGACGAAGCACGACTACAAGTACGCCGCAACATAAGTTGTCATTGAAGGTCAAGATCCTCCTGGAGCACATTAATGAGAACAAGGAGAAACACAACTTGGTCGAGGTGGAGAAACATTTATCGCTGGACGAGAATCCAGAACATCATCTTAATCCTGATTTACTCGAGCAATTGAAATCCTTGAACGATTCCGTCAATATGGAGACCATAAGCGCATTGTTGAATTGTACTAGCTTGGGCAATTTGACAAAAGATTCAAATTTTGTCAGCAAAGAACTAGATAATGTTGACAGTGACAATGCAGAATTGGAATTTACAAATACTGATTTTGAGGATTTGAGCTCAGAACAGTTTACTTCAAGATCCGACGATGCTAAAATTGATTATTCTGAATATCAAGAACACGTAACATCTCGCAGACGAAGACGAAGAAGTCTTGATAATGAAATGGAAGGTCTAAATAAATTTGCTCGACAAAATCTTTATGATTCCACTGATTCTGCGGTTGATGCTTTCAATATTTCACAAACTCAATATACTGAGTTAACAAACGCAACTTACAATTTACAACTTTCCACAACGACAAATTATTCCGAAGAGGAAACAACTACTAACAATTATACAGAAAGTGAAAGAAACGTAACTAAAGAAGAAAATCAAAGTACAATGCCTTCGACAATAATAACCCTTAGCGATGTTGAGCTTTCAAACGCTTCGGAATCTCGTGATATTAATATGACAAAAGATGTACAGTTAAACACGACAACATATAAACCTGAAGAGGAAACAAATAACACTATGTATATAGAAACTAATACAACTAATGACACAAATATGACTAATGAAAGAAATGAAAGCACAGTGCCTTCGACAAGAAACAACATGAATAACGAAACAAAAATGGAAGTTGTGCGAAAGACATTACCAGGAATACAGGAAGATGTTGTGGTCGGGTTGCAGCATATGGTATCGCAATTAACGCAAAGTAATTTGACTTCAATCAATAATGTTAAAGAAGCCAAAACAAATTTGTTGGGTATTTTAGCGGACCCCAGTGATAGCAGGGTTCGATTGAGAAGAAAAAGAGCGGCCACGGAAGAAGTTGGACACTGGTCAAATGAAAGGATCAAGGAGGCGCCAATGGGTGGCAATCTTAGAAGTTTCACTGAATTCACACTGTATAAAATTCTATCTTGAGATGTACAAGATTAAGTTTTATTTTGCCATTTTGTAATGTCAAAAGATTTTAATGAAGCTGAAATGAGGAATTACGTTGTATGTATAAGCCTTACTGTACATTATAATTTAATCACATGTGTAAATGTATGATAAAAAAAAACTTTACAATATTAAATTGTCTTTTAAAATATGGCAGATGACAGATTATTAGTGCTTTTTATTCATATAAATGTATACAAATTTCCAGACAAATATAATACATTTAAAAAAGGAATAAAATTATAAAAGGGATATAATTATTTCGTGAAATAAAAATTTATCCGTATATTAGTATAATTTTTATATATTGTTTTTGCAACACTGAATTAATATGTTTGATTTTCATGGGTAGGAAGAAGCTGGTATTTATGACGTTTAATCATCTTTAAAGTAGTAAACGCGTGATTATCGTGTGAATGATTATAGCTTGCGCATTCATAACGTTCGAAAATAATTAATCGTGAATAACGGTTTGCATTGGCAATCGTAATTGTGTTGACTGAATCGCGTCTGTAATGGATCGTGCTAACGAGAAATTGTTACGTACTTTTATTGTTTCCATTAAGTTGAAAATAATGTGTTGCGTAATAAAATGGCTATTAAATGCGCGGTATTCGCAGACCGCTTTATTATTTTTCTATCAGCCTATAACACATGTTGAAAATTCGTTTATGATTTATAATGATAGATAATTACATTCGCGCCTTTTTCTTTTTTAATCTCTCAGTTTATTAAATGTTATTAGTTGATACACTATTTTTTACATATTTGACACATTTTCGTTTATCATACTCAATTATTTATTTATCAACGGACATGTATTTATTATAATCAGGAAGAATATCACTTTTAGTAAATATGCATTGTTATTTTGATAAACAATTTAACAATTGTTAATATTTTTACATTAAGATACACGATGATTTTGTAGAAGTACATTAGCATCTTATAGACTGCAAACATATGCAGTATGATTGTAATGTTCTATTATCCTGATGTCCCTGAACATGTGAACGTCTGTGGCGATACACATGTTTCTGTTTCTGGATTAAATACCAGCGTATTCGGGCACGAGAGATTATCCATTATGGTGTAACTGGAGCCGTTCCAGTAGCACAAATAATAACTCTTACAGTTCACGTCCTGTATCGGGAATCTGCCGTATCTCACACAGAGTGGTGCTGAGGTGGTCGATGGTGCCGTTGTCGATGGTGCCGTTGTTGATGATGCTGTTGTCGATGGTGCCATTGTCGTCGATTGTTGGCACGTATTTGTGCATTGACACACGCATCTACCCTGAACAGGATCGAATATGGAATTACTGGCGCACGACAATATCACTGGAACGAGATTCGCGCCGTCATCTACACAAAGTAAGTAATTTTTGCAAGTTCCATCGACGATTTCGAAAAAACCTGCCTCCGTGCAATCAAATGTGGTTTGATTTTCAGCGATTTTGAAAGTAGTGTAAAGGCACAAAAGAACGATGATCGAGAAGCGATTCATTGTTGCGTGCGAGCAAAGATTTGGCCAACGTGTGAATGTTGCATTTATTTATAGCAAAGAAATTTATGATTTGTGTCAATTATACGTTCATTTATCAGGGATTTAGTAAAGCAAGATAAAACGAAAATGATTCTCTTTGACCTTGCTGTGAATTCGCACATTTTCTACCTCAGCATTTCTAATCTCTGATCTTAATTTTATCAATGATAATATTGTTGCGCAAATTTAATTTTTCAATTTCTATTTTTTAATATTTGTCAATTTTTGGATTCAAGCAGTTAATTTATCGACGCTATTAGGTATATTACGTAATTATCGAAAGTTAACGCGATGCAAATTTAATTAAAATAATATATACGTATTTCTTTCGACGTCGTTTGAAGTCAAGACGGCATCTGTGCATCCCCGATTCCTTCCAGGTGAAATGTCGGACGCGATTCAGAATGCGTGTTTTTTTAACGCGACGGTCTTACGACGAGGAAATCGAGGGTGAAGTCTACGGAATACAAAATCGCCAGAAAGCGACGAGAAAGTTGCAACTGGATTTAATGTCCGCACGTAATATTCTGCTTGTTCGTGCGTGCTAGCATTATGCATCAATTATGCATGCACATCTTGTATCTATATATTGAAATAGATTTTGCATGTTTTACTGATATTGAACACAAACATTTATTTTCTATCTCGCCACATTAGATCAAAAATTGATTTCTTATTATAATAAAATTATGATAAAATATTTATTTAAGCTTTTTATACATTAGATTTTATACGTAGATTTTAATAAACTTTGATGTACAATATTGTTATAATAATAGTAATAATTTAATTTGTAAGACATAAGATAGATATATGACATTACATTAAATAGAATAAAAAATATTATGTGAAACGAAGAAATCAGCTACATCACACAGGTGCATTAGACCTGCATTAAAGATATTCCGTTAAAGATATTTCATCGATTATCCTTTGAAATTCCAGTCTGCGACCCTGGAGTTCAGGTAACTTTTCCCAATGTCCATGATATATAGCAGGATCAGAGGTAAGACATTTTTTCGAATAAGATTTTCTTGAATAGATACGAAACCCCTCCGTCTAATCCAGGCATTCAACTGCAGGTTCAAAGAGAGAGATCGGCTGAATATACACGGAGGAATCCTTGTTTTGGAGCGAGGGAAAGGTGCTGTAGAAAGGAGAGAGAGGTGTCAGGAAAGAAGGAGAAGCGCAAATGTATATAAGTGACTTGGGTTGAAGACGCTCCAATGGACTCTCTCTTTGACCCTGGTCAAGTGCGCATCTTTCCTCCCATCTCTTTCTTTTTTCCCATCCCCCTTCCTATGCATGGTCGTGTTGTCGAGATCCTGCGTCCTTCCACTTCAACCTTCACCTTCACGCGGCAAGGAAGAGAACAGTGTTCTCGCGCCCGTTTAATCGTATTACGCGCTGTGACGATGATACAAGGCTAAGAGCTAGCAGGAATTTAATTTGCTCTAGAAAAAAATTTAAGACGAGTGTGATATTGGTTTCGCGTGCATGTGACATGTTCCTGGCGGAGAGATCCTGACTGCAGGAGAGATGGATGCTCGAAGAGTGAGTAACATTGACAAGAAAAGATCGAAAGAATCGTTATCGGAATTAAGTCATCCAGTATCTAATTGTGGAACTATTATTGCTGTAGAAGAAATTTTAGACCTTTTGAAATTGGAGATTGTGGAATTTGATTGATTGATATTGCATGGTATCAAATGGTATCATAATCAGTTACCAAATTATTACCAAATTATTACCAAATTATTATTTTAATTATTTGTTTAAAATAATAAATGATAAATAAAAAAATTCAATTGAATTAAAAATTAACTAAAAACAATAATAGATGACGAGACAAGTTAGATTTTAATGCTAAAACGTTATATGTTTTATATATAAAAAGTGTTTAACAGCAAAGATAGCAATTTTTCTTTATAAATATTATGCAGATATTAATTACAAAGTAATTATATAAAAATAGTCATAAAAACTTTTCGATGATGTATATTTTTGTATACATATCCAAATAGCACAAAAAGTTCAAAAAGAATTCAGTATGTTATCAATTCTGAGCTCATTTTCAGATGCAACAAGAATTCTTTTCAAAACTTTTCAGAAAAAGAATTTTTTTGTATCTGAAAATGAATTCAGAATTGATGACATATCACTGAATTCTTTTTGAACGCTTTGTGCTATATATCTGGGTATCTTTACAACACAATTTTATTACGCTAATTTTATTATACTAATAAGGTATCAACGTCAACACAGAAAATCCGTTATCAAAAGGCAATTCTTCATTATCTTCATCGCGTGCGATAGTTTCCGGCTGAAAAAAAAATCCAAATCGCTGCGGTTACGTTTGATCGTTCAAGTGAATTTAATGATGGATCATTTTAATGCGCTATAATTCTCTTTACTCGCGGTATCGATAACGAGGCGAATCGTGTGGGCTGTGCGATTATGATGTACCGAGAAACGTGTGAGAGCCTTGACTACATAGAAAATATGTACGCCGCTTTCGAGTCTAATCTATATTACATGGATAATAATAAATGCGTGAGAGCTATTCGCATTAATACCAAACATTGTTTTGCCAACAATTAAGAGACTTTGTAATTTGTACCTTTGCAAAAAAAGTATGAGAAATAACGGATTACAAATTTTTTCAAAAAAAAAAAGGATTACATATTTTTTTCAAATATAGTTGCATTTCTCTTGTACAAATTATTTTGTCGTTAGAAAGTTATGCTGCGCGCATATATATATATATATTAACATTTTCTTATCATTTTATCAGTCTGTTTTTGACAATTATGTATTTTGTACTTTTATATCCTCAAAATTAATTTATTGAAAATAGAAGGAAGCCTTTCCCTAATTTTTTTTATCATTAGTCAAAATTAAAATAGTTAAATTTTAGTTCCAAAATCATAATTTCTTTAAAAAATTGTTTTGGTTCATGTAAATTGTCTCACAGTCACGTTCTTTAATTAGCTAGGAGAGCAGGTTGGAGCTGTAAGTTAATAGTGCTACTCGCGTTGTATTTCAAGAGTCACGGTTGATTTATGCACATCGTGAATCGACGATAGCGCGCGTCAGGACGACGAATAAATGACGAGGACGTAAGCCACTTTCGAGGAGAACGATCAGGTTCGGTACATCGCTAGTCAAAGAGGGAAACTCTTTCGACCGACCTAAATTTATCGCTTTCCGTTTGCACGTGTTTTACGTAGTCCCGATTTCCAAAAAGAATCATAGAATAATACAGAAGCAGAGATGTTTCTTAATTAATGCTCTTTTGTTACAATTACCAAGATTATTATACGAAGTATCTTGGAATTACAAAAGGAAGATGTTCTGCATCAGCTATGTCATTTAACTAGTGAATGGATAGTGAAATAATTAATTTAAATAAAATAGATGTTACTTTAATTTGTTTAAAGGAAAGACATAAGAGGAATATTAAAATTTAATAAATATATTGCTAAAAATAATAGGCTTTTTCCCTCCTGATGGTTTTATTAAGGAAATAGCTATCTTTAATATTCATTTTATTATTAGAATATTTTCTGCAATTATTGTGTGATTTAAAATCTGGATATATCAATATTCCATAGTATTGACATGTTGATATTCTTCCACCATTTCAGATAAAGTCTGTTTAAGTTTTATCTGCAAAGTGTGTTTAAGTTTTATATGCATAGTGCTGATAACAGATAAAGTATGAGAAATTCTTAAAAGAAACAAAAAGAAAAGTTACTTTCCATTTACACGTTTTATCAGTTCAGCTTTAGAAAAATGTCAATATTGGATCTTAACGAGCGTGCGCTATCCATTATCCATACAAATATAAGCTTTTCTACTTGAAGTGTCTGATGTTTTGTCTCTGATGTTCTGATATTTTAGTATCTTGTTTGGACAAATATTCAAGGCGCTTCCACACACATAATTTGTCAATGTTGGAATAAAAAATATAAATATCAAATACCAACGTAATTTATGTTGCAACATCACTTATAGGTAATTAGAACAGTGAAAGTTAGAAGTGCAAGTAAAGTTATTATAGAAGCACTAATTAATAGATTTTTTTGCATTTTAACAAAACAAAGATAAAATTGATAAGTTGTCAATAACGGCATAGTTTAATATGAATTGTGCTTTCTTTCCTTGCGAGATATTTCTAAATATAATTATTATACATTTTGTAGAGGTTTTGCATATGTTTCCTTCCGCTTAATATATATTACCGTGAATAATTTTATATTTAGATTTTTTAATTTTTTAATCACGGAAGCTTGCTAAAAAAGAATTGACAGCACTTCCTCTGTTATTTTCTAAATAAGACGATAATTTGCGGTATAAGTTCCTTTTGCGTTTCGAAATCGTGGGTATCAAATTAAGCGCAATAAAACGTCAAGCATTATGATTTCCTACTTTAAGAAGTCTATATGAGGGGGCACAGCAAATGCTTTATGGCGTATTTTCCTTACGTACGTCGAACTGGAGCAGCTCGCGATGTAAATATGACAGTTACAACTCTCTCTGTCTTGACGCTCCTGTAATTGTCTTCTGCGCCGCTGAAGCACCGTTAGGGCCCGTCTTTTCTTGAGAAGATCATCGTCATCTCCCGATTTTCACTCTACTATTCCCACGGGAATTTAGACCTGCCTTAGAAAGTGACAAGATAATACCATGCTCTTTTCATCATACATACTTTTTTATGCTCTTTTATGTAATTATTAAATATATAATTTTGTTAATTGGTTAATTACATCGTTTTCCGCGCTTATCTTTTAATAGTTTATTTTTTAAAATTATTTTTAATTGTTAATTTAAAAAAATATTACCTTTTACTAATTTGTACTTTTTTAAATTGTTATTAAAATTGACATTTTTTTGAAACACATTTCGCGTACATTGAAGAAAAGATTGGAAAAATTATTACACACATTTTTGCAAAATGATATAATTATGAGTTT